GAGACTGTTAAACCCTGAAGGGCCTGGGGTAGGAGGGGGCCTGAGGTTTCCGGTATAGAAGGGCCGGACTTCACAAGATCCTTCACAATAGATCCTCCTCTGTGCAGGAAGAAGAATTTGCACATCTATCTTATCAGTGTAGATGGATTGCCCTCTGAACTTCCGCTGCAGACTGAAATTAACCCCGTATGTCTAATACAGTCACATATCCTAGAGTGGCTCCGCCTTATAGGATGGCTGAGGGTTGTAGTTCTACAAAAAAAAGTGTAAAGAAGCGAGAGTCTGAAGAAGATTGTATTAGGGTGATAGAGTAATTGTAGACAACATTCCCTACTTTGTGATCATATATAACATATCATTACACTCAGTATTATTATTGCTGCAGGGCCGGACTATTTTGCACCCTAGGCAAGAACAGCTACTTGCACCCCCCAGCCCCCCTCCCGTAACGCAACAGGAGTTGTTGCTCCAACGCAGGGCAACAAGTGAGGAAGTGGTGAATAGAAGAGGAGGTGTGCAGCCCTGTGGAACACCATAGGCTGACAGCCAAGCACCAGGGACCAACGGGAAAATCCGGCACGGATTGCCGGGACATTGTGACAAAAGCCCCCATAATACGCGGATGGATTCAAGCTTTTTATTTGGTCAACAAAAGTCCAACGTCTCAACGCGTTTTGAGGCCACTTCTTCAGGAGGACCTGTGGGGACAAAAGAGGGGGGTTTAAAATATTGGTAGTACTGATGATACTTATGACGTGACTCACGAATGCGAAAATTCCCGATCCTTCACAAGTCTCACAGTTGGGTGTATGAGCCCGTGTATTTTTGGGGGCCGTTCTCTTCTCTACAAATGTTTTCCTGGAGCTTGGCACGGCTGTGCTGTGGAGAACCCAACAGCTGCCACGGCAACGTGAAGTCAGCAATGATTTTGCAAGGCTGCACAAAGGAGCACAGACAGATATTCAAAGCAGATATAAACAAACACCAGCCATGAAAAGCCTCATTATTACTAATCAATGTTCATGAACGAAACCAAGCGAGCACAAGCACGGGCTATGCCGAGCTGAGCTATGACAAGGTCATGTTAATCACACATCCAGAAATTACTTCATGCCCCGTACGCGTCAAGAACAACGTGGCCATTGAGCTACAGGGGACAGGACATGACACGTGTGACCAGGGCCGGATTTACTCTCCTTGCCGCCCCAAGGCCAGGAGAGTAAATCCCCCTCCCCCACAATACGACCCCCCCCCCCCGCCACCAGAGAGTGGGAAATCCGGGCCTGTGTGTGACCACAGGAACATCTCTGAAGGCTCCATCATGGTGGCCATCTAGTAAGGTAGACAACCACCTGGGTGATATCTTCAGATCTTCATGATCATTTACAGTTTATATCATTAAACATTACTAAAAGATCAATAATAAAATTGAATAGGAAACCTTTAAAGAGGCCCTGTCATTAAAAAAACAACAACAATTGGCTCCTGTTAAAAGTCAAGTGTCCATACTTACCTTTCCGATGGGTAGGGACTCAGTTGGTCACTTGGCTGAAGATCTATGGCCTCCGGAAACGTTCTCCCACCGGCCGCTATGTCCTACAGTGACGTAGGGACTGGACGATTGGACCGCATTGTATGTTCTTCATGTTTCAGTCCTGGGATGCAGAGCTCTCTGACCTCCCGTTACACCTCGCACTTAGCCACCACGGTGCAAAGCTACAAATCCACCTTCTATGGACGCTCATCAGTTTACAGCTGGATGGCAACACGCAAGGAATCTTCTTCAAACGTATCTTCATGTTGTACTGTAAAGTAAAAGTAACACACGCTTACATGTTTCAGCCCTGCTGGGCCTTAGTCTTAGCATGTTATGACTAAGGCCCAGCAGGGCTGAAACATGTAACTGGATCTTACTTTTATGGACTTTACAGTGTGAAAATAAAGATTAGGGATACACCGATATATCGGCCGCCGAAACAAATTAGATAGTGCAATTTTCCTGCCGATACATTGGCGCATTCCCTGCTTTCTTTCCTCCCCGCTGGGCGCTGCTATGTGTCCCAGCGGGGAAGAGAGAAAGTGACAGCCGTACGAGCGCTGAGGGAGGTGAGCGCTGTGAGCGGGCGGCGTCTCTCCTCCCACAACGTCAGCTGCCTATCACAGTTCGGCAGAGCGGTGTGTGGGCGGAGACAGGCCGCGCTGTCACAGACTCCTTAGTTAGGACGTACAGGGGGCGTGTCCGAGTGCTGCACAGAGACCTCTGTGATGAAGCAGTAGTCTCTCTGCAGCGGTCTGTATGGGAGGGGGGAGTAAGTTTATGGAGGTCATAGATCTTCAGCAAAGGGACCATCTTCGTGCCAGGGTCACGATGTTCTGATGGTTCACCGGACTGAATGTAAGGGCCATACGCATCTCTCCGCCCAGGCTCTTAGTCACTGCTTGCCAATACAGCAGCCAATAGCAGAGCTGAATTCATTAGCAGACACAATCATCAGCCTGCTACTTCTCCTTTCACTGTCCAGTCACAGGTTGGGGGGCGGGACAAGACCCGTAAGTGTTACTACTGACTTTTTTTATGTTGTGTTCTTTCATTTACAGCGCCGTGGAAGTAAAAAGGGGTTTGTTGATTTAGAGAAGGTGATCTGTGTGGAATGCGTAGAGCCGGAGGAAAACCCGCCGCCGGAACGGCAAATACTGGTAAGTGAACTTTATGCGCACCGACACCCTATGGGCAAAGGTTAGCGGGCCCTTGATCATCACAGCAAGGAATATGTGGAATAACGACGAACGCGCTACACATGTTGGGTATCGCCGCGCATGCCGGAGTGAGAGCACTAATTCTAGGGCCAGTATTTTGGGGTATCTCTAAATTGATGACCAACTGAATCCAATTATTTGGAGGGGGAGGGGCTCAATACTTTTGGCAATATAGTGTATATATATTTATATTTATTTTTTAGTGTGCAATTGAATCATACAGGTACTGTCGGGGTAACCTCTGTATATTGATGATGATATTATTTATTTGGCCCGCACATCACATTTTGCATTTCTGAATACTCTGAATTTTGTTCTTATCACTTAAGAGCTAATATTTTTTTTCTTTGAAGCACAGAGAAGAATTTGCAGACACCGAACAGATTTCTATCATAGAACGATTCCCTTACCCATTCCAGGTAAGGACTTTATAAGAAGCCATGGGATGCCCAGATTTATGAGACCGGTACCAGATCGGGCCCATGTCATGGGGAATTAAAGATCATGGTGGGCTCTGCAGGGCCTCAGGTGGGCTGGTCACACCCCTTACCTGTCCGCCTCCTCTTCCTCCACGGTTGCTGATGGGCCCCGTTTCCTCCTCCGTCGCCGGGCCCGCCTCCTCCTCCGTCACCGGGCCCCGCCTCCTCCTCTGCTGCCCCCCCCCCGGGCCCCGCCCCCTCCTCCACCACTGCTGGGCCCAGCCACCTCCACCGCCGCTGCTGGCTCTCACTGACTCAGCAGCGGCCGTGGAGAGGAACGCGCCGCTGCACAGATCACTGAACAGCGGCGCGTACCTCTTCACAGCCGCCAATGACAGCCACCAGCCTGAGATGCCATGGCGACGACCCAGGTGACCTGAACGGCATCAGGGATGTCCTGGCCGGGCCCCCATGTGCCTAGGGTTGCCACCTGTCCAGGATTCACCCGGACAGTTCGGGTTTTGAATGCTCTGCCCGGGTTTCATGGCAGCAGAAACCCGGACACAAGACGCTAGGCAGACAGGGGCAACCAAAATTAAGATAGGTTGCCCCTTACAAAATTAAGATAGGTTGCAGTCTCACCTGTAATATTTACATATGAATAGGCGGCGCTATTTAGATATGAATAAGCCACGACTAATTCTCCCCAAAAAATGTCTGCGCGTCTCTAGAGTGTTCGGGTTTCGCTTGAAGAAAAGGTGGCAACCCTAGATGTGCCCCGGGCCCCATTGCGGCCGCCTGGTATTGTTGCACCACTGCCTGGTATGGGCCTCCTTGAGTCCCATCATCTACTCGGGGTTCCTCCACGTAAGATGTAC